CGCCAACCCGTGACCTGTATATTTAAATGGGTTGTGTTTGGGTTGGCATATTTTGACCCGCCAACCCGAACACGACACGATTGACAGGCCTAGTCGTGTAACTATGTTTTCTAACTTGGGTATGTACAGTACTATAAAAATATTACGTCACGTGTACGCATTACCATCATATTTTTTTATTTTTACACTAAACTTTTTTAATGCTATCAGCAAAAAGCAACCAGACGCGTTTTGTTTTAAATGCAAAATATTACATTGCTTAGTTAAGCATTTTCAATTGGCAGAATTAGCATTCCACATTTCACCGCTAGTATTAAAAAAAGATTAGTGGGTCGAACTTCAAAGCATGATTATGAAAAAGGGAAAGACAGAAACTAAAACGATTTTCTTACCTTTCAATTTTTTCTGCATCGCCATGTTTAAACCACCATGACACACCATACCCATAAACCTGCAATTAAATACAAGTATAAGATCATAATTTGTAGAGTAAATTACATTTTTGGTCCCAAAGAACTTCGTCTTGCAATTTTGGTGGCTATTTTACTTGTAACCATTTGGGTCCTTGAGTTTGTTCAGAAGTTGTATATTCAATAGTTTCCTTTTGAAATATTGGTGCCTATATATAGGGACCATAATCGTTGCAACAAATGAAAATACACACCATAATTGCAATAGAAAACTATTCGGAACCAAAACTGGAATTTTTTAACAAACTCAGGGACCAAAAAAGTAATTTAGTCGAACTTTAATCGTCTTACTAAAAGGGAACTTTCACCCTACACAAATTTATGAAATTTCAAGAGTGCAAACATGTAAAAGCATAAATCCTTAGACCTTAATTATATACATGAAGACATAAGATTTATGTATGTGTGGGTCTCAAGAAGAATGGATGTATGTTGAAACTATTGCATACACTACGTAAAAGCTTTTTTATATGTATATCAATTAAACTACAAAACATTATAGATTATGATTTCAGGTGCGTACACTACATAATAACCTTTTTATATTTATTTCTCCATTTAAGCAAAGAAATCTACTTTTACCTAATTAGTTAATTATATATGCCATTTTAAGTGGCAAACACATATTTCTAAAAAATATATTTACCACCATCACAAATCTTAATCAAAGATTCCCCACCGTAAAAACAATTTTTCATTTCTTCGTTCCAATAAGCACAAAGAAAGAAAAAAAATTCCGAAGCATGCCCGAAGCTTATTTTGAAACATGGCATGGTGGGATTCTATTTAGGTCAATATTGAGTTCATGAATACTACACAAACATTGGATTAGGGTCCTACCAGTTTCAGCCTTCACTTAACATGTTTCCCTTTTTAGTTATTTCTTTACAAGGATCATGATTCAAGTACATATGAAAAGAAAAGAAATGGCTTACAAAAATCTTGTAGATTGTTAACACTACTTGTCTCCAACTTGTCAAAGAAACATCAATCTCAGCCACACCATATCTGCAACAATAATTACCAAAACATTCATTTTAGTTTCACTAGAGAACTAACTAAAATAGATATAAGTTAGAGCTAAAGGTGGTAATATGTACCCTTTTTTCATAAACGAGTAATTTAGATTATGCCTTATTATTAATGGGATCAAATGGCTATAAAAGCAGAATATATATATATATATATATATATATATATATATATATATATATATATATATATATATATATATATATATATATATAAAAGGGATACGGGTAAAAAAGGTCAAACAAATCCTTGAAATTGATCGTATCTATAAGTCAAGTTTCTTTTCGTTCAAACCTCTCCTAAGTCTTCAGGAGACATTTTCTAAACCAAAGCAATGTGAGGTATCCACAGCAACAACTTTAAAAAATCAAATTAATTGGGGCGGGATTCAATACGTACAATTGTATTAACATTAATGGGAATAAGCTTAGGAAGAAAGCAATTAAGAGACGAAGACAAATTGTGTTCGTAAGAAATGAGGACAGAGGCGTTGGCATGATGAGGCATAGATTTTGGTCATGAAGGAGGCATCTAGTTGTTTGTTTTTCCTTTCATAGTCATACCAAACAGTATATAGTTATTGAGTTCAGTGTCAACTGTGGTGAACCAGAACTCAGAACGTATGTGAAGGGATTTGCTTAGGGTGTAATCCAATACAACTGTGGAAATTGATAGGCACGTTATCAAGGGAAAACCCTCTCTAGAACTGTCCTTTGTCCCAACCGATTTTGTTGAATTATATAATCATTATCAGGTTAGTTGAGAGTTCTAGGTAATTAGGAATTGTTTCCTTAATCAGTTTTTTATCTTAAAATATCATATCTTGAGACTTGAGAGATAAGGATATAATTCAAATTAATCCTTCTTATTATAGGATTAGGAGTCTTTTCTTGTAATATAGGACCCCTTATCTATCTTTTAATTAATTTTCGGATACATAGAAAAACCTAATCGGCTTCTTTCCTATTCTTCATTCTTTAATCTCTAAAAAAAGGTTATGGTTATATTCTTTACCATCATAAATTTTATTTTTACACTATAACTTTTTTAATGGAATTATCAAAAAGCAGCCTAACGCAGGCATTTTAAAATAAGAATTTCATTGCTTAGTTAAGCATTTTCAATTAGCAGAATTAGCATTCCACATTTCACCACTAGCACACAGGTATGAAGGATTAGAGAAATATTAGTGGGGTCAAAGCATGACCATGAAAGGGAGTGAGAGAAACAGGTTTGGCTTTTCTCTTGTTAATAATTTTATAATTGAAGTAGTGGCCGTGTTTAAATCGCGTAGATAGTTATTTGCATTAAACCTTTTTGACTATTACTATGATGCATGTCTCCATAGATGTCGGTACAACTACATTATCATCATCATCATCATCATATATATATATATATATATATATATATATATATATATATATATATATATATATATATATATATATATATATATATATATGAAAACCAAAAACGTGTGCTTACCTTTCAATTTGCTTTGTGATGCCACGTTTAAACATCCGTCTTTGTAACCCTGCAATAGATCAGTGTCTAGTTTAGGATAATAATTTTATTTGTCTCGCTGTATAAGCATTTTCACCCTACACAAAATATTTTGTGATATTTCTTATGTAGCAACATGACATCAATCTCAGCATCATATTATTATTGCTGCAGCATAGATATTTTAAGAGTCCATGAAGATTAGATTATACTTCATTGGTACAAATGTATCTGATAAAACTAAATGTAGTGTAATCAGGAGATAGCATGCATTTTGCATTCTAAACAAGCAAAATATTTATTTCATTGGATTTCTGTAATTTGCCATAACTCAAGATAAAGGAAAAGTGACAAGCATATGAAGGTTTTAAAAGAGTGCAAACGTGTAAAAACAGAAATCCTTAAAGCCCTTCCCACTTAAGCATAAATTATATTTAGTAAACATTGTAATCTTTGAAATCATAAAATAGTTTATTATTCTCGTTACTTTCTTCATGTCCGAAACAAGAAGCTACCATGAAAGGTACGGAACGTGGTACTACAAACGTGTAAAAATTAAAAAAATATAAAGCAAAATCCCCATTAATTAGCTTTTTGAGCACTAAATCTATACATGTCAGCAGCACTAGAGAACAGGATCATTATATTATATATTAATCTCAGATGACTCACTGTGGTTGATAATCCTCATTAAGACAATATACTTGTCTTAAAGTATAACTAATTGGTGGGCACAAAATGTTTTTCTAATTACAAAAAGGGAGGCGTGTGGATTGCATTAATTATCATAGGACCTGATCAGAAAATATAGGAATCCTACAAAACTATTAGGCAAATTTCTCCTGAAAGTACCGCAAACAGACGTAAGCCTTTTTGCCTCTAACAGGGACACATAAGGAAACTTAAACAAATAAAGTACTAAAATTGAATTAAAAGAATCTTAAAGACTGTTTTACCTTGAGATCAAAATGAAAATTTAAGTTCATGCAACTTTCAGACAGTAATGTGACGAGGCGACCATAATGCATTCTTGCATTTTAGTCCACTGAAATGCTAAGCAACTGGGATTCCATTTGCTGCATTAAGTTAAGCAATTAAAAACAGGTTTCAATCAATTTTCAGTACAGTACATTAACAAATTACTGAACCTTTACGTAAATTCAACATGCTGAATTGTAATATGATATTTTATCAGAAGTGCTACACATGTTGGTAACCATGTATTAACATTCAGGGAAAAAAAAATCTATGTTACAGTACAGACTACAGACAACTGATAGTGGGCAAATTCTATATGCTGCACTATAGATTATGTGGTGTCAATTTCTAAGAATTACAACATTGACCAGTCAAGAAACTGAAATGTTCATATTTGTCCTTTCTGAATCACTTGATAATATTATCTTTCTCCCTAATCAATATTTTTTCAAATCAAATTTGGGAAATTAGTATAGAGCACTTGAGAAATAACAGGCATTGCACTAGTGTGTTATGAAAAGACGGTTCCCCATAAGATGAAAGGATAAAAGGAGAAAGGACAAGCAAGTTCCACCAAATTCACAAATGAATCCACTTACTGATATGCACCATATATTTTCATGAACTGTGATTGGACAAAATGGGAGAATTGTCAAGAGAGACAGATGTCAAGTTTTGGCACTTACCCATGTTTCATATCTAATGGAAGGGCCTTGTATATAAGTTGCACTTGCATCCCCACAAATCAAATTACATGAAAAATAAAAGAGTTGGAAAAGAAACAACTAACCATGAGCACCACAATTGACATTTCCAACGAAAACGAAACTTCTCACAACTACAAGAAACAAAAGAAATTCTCTTTCCTTGTTAAGCTATCTTCTCTTATAGAGAAACATGATGAACAACATATGCAAAAAGTCATTCATAGCATCAAGGTAGGAATTGCCTTGGTTTTGGTTTCACTTCTCTACCTCCTTGATCCACTTTTTTAACCAAGTTGGGGAAAATGCCATGTGGGCCATCATGACTGTTGTGGTTGTTTTTGAGTTCTATGCAGGTTTGTCTTCAATTTTTCAAGTTAGAAGTACTCGTATTTTAGTTCTAAAGTGCTTAATCTTTCATCTCTAAAAACAAGCAATTTTTACAACTGATATATGTATGACAGGTGCCACATTAAGCAAAGGTTTGCTCCGTGGAGTTGGAACTATACTTGGAGGTGGATTAGGGTGCTTGGCAGCAATTATGGCAGATGATTTAGGAAAGATAGGAAATGCAGTAGTGGTTGGTGCTTCAGTCTTTATTTTTGGTAAGCATGCATACATACATAAGATATATATATATATATAGCAATATTCTGATGAAGTCATTGAGTATGTTAAGAATAAAGTAACTTTAAACATGTAGGCGCTGTGGCAACATACTGTCGATTGATTCCAAGTATAAAAAGGAGATATGATTATGGGGTGATGATCTTCATTCTCACCTTCAATCTGGTAGCAGTATCTGGTTTGCGTGCTGATAAAATTCTTGAATTAGCCCGTGAGCGTTTGTCAACAATTGGTATGGGTTTTGCTGTGTGTATATTCATCAGTTTACTCATTTTTCCAATGTGGGCTAGTGATGAACTTCATCGCGTGGCATCCTCCAACTTTGACAAACTGGCTTGCTGCATTGAAGGTACTTAAAAAGTGGTGATAATGTTTTTTTTTTAGTATCATTATCTGAAAACATTTGAATGATGAATTGTAGATTGCATGAAAGCGTACTTCAGTGTAGTCAGTGAGAAAGAAAGCATGCCAAGCATTAGTGTCAGTGGTTGCAAGTCAGTGTTGCACTCAAAATCAAGTGAAGAATCACTGGTAATATCTCTTACTAGTTAGTGGTCCATGTTCACATGCACTTGACCTAAGAATATTCAAAAACAAATTATGCTTACAGATACTACAAAATTAGCATCATGATTTATTGTATGACTTAACCAAAGAAAGTCAAGGTTTAGACAGATCTAGATATCATATCAAACACCAATTTCTTTAACTGTGTAAAAACATCTTAAATTTTTTTTTTTTTCGCGCCTATGATTATACCTTGGTTGTAAAAAATGTCAACCTTCTAGAGCATTTACATATATTTTCCTTTTATAAGATGAGATGAGTATGCTCTTTGACTTTTGTTGATAAAAAAAAGAAATATTCACATCCTGTTTGATTTTTAGGCAAATTTCGCAAGGTGGGAACCCTGGCATGGAAAATTTTGGTTTCTATTATCCTTGGGAGAAATACTTACAGATAGGAGAGCTTATTAGGGAACTTGCTTCCATCATTCTGTCAATGAAAGAGTGTCTTGGATCACCATTACAGGTTTGTACACGTGTCCCTATCATAATATTTCAGTTACTAAGTTAAGTGAGTGAGTGACTTAACATTGTTAATTTTTTGTACACAGCCCTCAACACCATTACAACATGCACTCAAGGAGCCATGCAAAAGTGTAGGGTTATCACTTGGATTAACCATGCGAGAGCTAGGAGAAAGTATCAGGAATATGAAAAGATGCCAAGCAAAAGTCCTAAAGTTGGAGTCCATTAAACTAGAGCTCAATCTACTTTCAACTTCACATAAACTACGAGGGATTGCAAATGTTGAATCTCTTGCCATAGCAAACTTCTTGTTTCTATTAATGGAAATAGTTGATAAGGTAGAAGTTTTGGCCAAAGAAGTGGAAGAACTTGGAGAGGTGGCTGGTTTTCAATCTAAATAGCCCAACCTACCATATGGTTTTCAATGACAGAAGACTGTAAGCAAGCACAGCTTCAAAAAATCATTATGACTTATAATTTTACAAGGAGGATGTGGCAAGTGTCTACATACATACTTGTAGCATGTATAAACAAAATGGACTTCTTAACTGTCGATATCCAAAACATTCTGGGTGGACAGGTGCTGTTTGGTGAATGTGAACTGTGAAGGAGTACCTTTGTGGTCAAAGCCATCTATTTACACTTTGGCTGGGTGGAAGTGTATTCAAAGAATAGTAATCATGGATCATATAGTGATGATGCAAACTGATCTAACATATATGTTAGTTTTTGGGGGTCTTTTTTTCCTTTTTGTATTATTAGCAATTATCATTATTTGGTAGATTTGTATTATCTCTTTAGCCTTTATATATTTGGTAGATATGTGCTCCTACTTTGGAATAAGATTAATATGTAATAAATTTCTCTACAGCAATAGAGACAAGAAATGGCATCTAAATCGACAACTTCATGAAATATGGTAGTTTTTAATTTCATTACAAAATTATATCAATGATATTGCCTTTCTCCAAAATTATATCAATGATATTGCCTTTCTCCAAAAAAGACAACAGTCTATTGTCCCACACGTACCAGATATTATATATAATTAAGGTGCAGTCAGCTTTACACATAAGACAATCAGAGATGACAAAAAGGAGGCAAGAGGACATAGTCATAGTTGGAGAAACCAATAGATATAGCACCCATATCCATATGGACTATTTCTAACCACAAAGAATTTAGGAGATAAATCAGAAGATAAAGTATGGTTTTACTCCCAATAAAGACGTTGATCATCACTGGATTGCTAATCAGATTGTTTGGTATATGCAAATTTGTACAAAGTGCTCCGAACACCAATGTCACCAGTGTTCTTTGTAATTCTGGCATTTATACTGGAGGTGACCCATTCACCATAAGTCTGGCATATGTTCTTGATGAACTAAAAAGGGTTACACCTTCTCAAGAAAGTTATGACTACCGCAATATCTCTCCTTACCCTAACGCTTTTGCCTATGGTCATGCTTCTTGTAATCAAAACCTTACACGCATGGATTGCAAAACCTGCCTCGATGCAGCTGAAATCCAGATGTTAACTACTTGCAACAATAGGATCGGTGCCAGAGCAGTGCTTAATGATTGTGCTACTAGGTATGAGCAATACCCATTTAAAGATTAATCCGTTAGCTTTCAACTAGTTGTTGTCACGTTTTCTGGATCTAATTCTATGCAATCCGTTTGATGTAACTGGTAATAATATTTGTAGTTTCTGCATATTGAGATCTAACTCCCGTATGTCTTTGGATTCAGTGAATGACATTAACGAATATGTTATATAGAACAAATAGAAGAATTTCATTACTTACCTTTCTACCGATGTAAAATTTGCATCCATAACTGGCTCCCAGGGTCCTAATCTGTTCGTATTTCATAAAAAGGATCTTCAATCAAACACAACCACAAGATCAACTCAAATTAAATTTTGAAGCAGAGTTTGAGGAAACAATCTGTTAATTCAAAAGCGGAAGGGATAGATTAATTAGGGCTTACCAGTTAATCGTTTTAGGTCACCATGCCTTTAGCAACTTTCTGTCGGATACATCCGGAAGCGAGTATGATGTGTGCTATTCTATTTTTTTCATCCCAGATTTTTGTTCAACCCAAATGATTATGGTTATTGCACAGCGCGATCAAATATTGCATTATTAACGTTCTGCAACTTTGCAAGGTGTATCAGTTAAACTTAATCCTAGTAACTAGAGGACAACATCGCAATCGAAAAACCAACCAATAGCCGCTGAATTTCGCCACATTTTTTACAAATGGTAAATTGAAAGGCAATCGGAGAACCACGTTTTTCATTTCGTCCCATTTGCCACCACCAACCACCGGTGGAGCTCACGTACCAGACAACGACGACGAGTTTTGCGATTGCGGGAAAATTTGCCCAGAAAATATTTTCAAATTCATTTTTTTTTTTACTAAAAACACGATAATAAACTATTGATTTTGTAAAAAAATGATTTTTTTATAAATTTGCCCAGATAATAAATTTGAGCCAAACACGATAATAAATTTGCCCAGATAATATATCATTTCTTATTAAAAAAAATGATTTTTTTATAAATTTGAGCCAAAATAAAATAATCAGAACTTTTATGTTCAAAAAAATTATTGGGACTAAAGTATAACTTTTCCGAAAATATTGAGATTTCCGACAATTTTTTTACTAAAAACTTTTTTTTAAATGAACCGGTAATAAACTATTGATTTTGTTTGTTGTGAATTTTTTTACATCATATATCATCCCACTTATTGAAAATATTTGCATATTACCCTTAGCTACCGTAAGACTGAGCATTTGGACCGAATCGACATTTGGATAGGACCGGCTCTTGGACTGAACTGGTTTTATAGAAATTGGTGGATCATGGACCGGACTTGTTAAGGCTTACCAAGTTCAGGACCGAGTCCAGTTCCCGGTTCTTAGATGTAAGGCTCTTGGACCGAACCGATTTTGCAGAAATTGGTGGACTTTGAACCAAACATGTTAAGTCTTACCAAATCCACTTTCAGGTCCAGTTCGGATGTCCAAATGCTCACTCTGATGCTAGTGTAAGTAAAAGGGTAATATGTGAACATTTTCAACAAGTGAGATGATATATAGTGTACAAAATGAAATGACTAAATGTGAACAAAAAAATACCTCCCCCACCACCGTCACTTCTACCTTTGTCATCGTCACTGTCACCAACACGACCTCCGTCACCGCCTCCTCTACTACCACCACCTCCACCACCGTCATCGCATTCGCATCCACCTCCATCATCACTACATCTACCACTACCTCAACTACCGTCACCGCCTCCACATTCCCATTTGTAACCATCACTACCACCTCCACCTCCACAACTACTATTGCCTCCGTCGCCAATACCTTCATCACCGCCACTATCTCTGCCTCCACCTCCACATTATCCATCTCCTATACCGTTGCCACCGCCAACACCACCGACTTCATCACTACCACTATCTCTACCATCACCTCCATCGTCTCCACCACCACTACCTCTACTTCCTCCGTCGCCGCCACCACCAACGTTGGTGGCAAAGACAGAGGCGGTGATAGAGGTTGTAGTGATGGTGATGGTGGCGGTCGGCGGAGGTGGAGATTGAGGTGGTGGAAACGGTGACGAAGGTGGTGGCGGTGATGGGTGGCAAAGGCGAAGGTAGTGGTGGTGGGGTGGTGGCGGTGGAGGAGGTGACGGGGGAGGTTCTTTTTTTGTTCATATTTACTCTTTTTTCTTTTTTTATATTATATATCATCCAACTTGTTCAAACTGTTTACATATTACCCTTTTACCTATAGTAGCACGTCACAATGGTAATATGTGAACATGTTCAACAAGATGGTATATGATGTAAAAAATGATTAAATGTGAACAAAATCAATAGTTCATTACTCCTCATAAGTTATTTTCCCTTTTTTTATATTGACTTAAAATCCATTAAGGGAGGTCAGAGTGGCTCAGGTGGCCGAATTTTGGTTGGTGGTACCATTGTAATGCTTTCAAAGTTTCGTTTTTATCGCACTAAAAAAAGATGTTAGAGTAAAACATTTAAAAATAGGGACTATCTATATCTTTAAAAAGCATATTAATATTTCTAAAGTATATTTATACTTCTGAAAATACATATTTATATGTATAATATAAAAAAAATACTTAGGTGAAAACATAAAAAATATGTAAAGTTAAGGATTTTCTTGCAAAAAAAAAATTATGGTAACTTTGAAACGTATGATAGCAGGTGAAAAACAAAAATAGAAAGAAAAAAACTTGCAAAGCTCTATTTTTAACGCACTAAAAAGCATGGTTCTAAAAAACGTGTCATGGCGCGCCTCAAGGCGTGAGGCGTGGTGTAGCCGTTACGAAAACGTCTAAGGCGGGTTTGTTAAGCGTGGCGTCCAAATAACGTGTCAAGGCGCGTCTTATCGCGATATGACGCGAGTTTTTTTCAAGGTGCGAGTTTTTTTAGTTTTTTTTTTTTTTTTTGATTTTTTTATCGGGACTAAAATAATTGAGTTTTTGTTAACTTTTTATATTAAATATTAATATAACACTTCTAAAAACTTGATATACTTGATAAAAATCAACAATTATATGATTTATCTCTTGTAATATATAAAAAATAGTCACGCCTTGAAAAACGTTATGACTCGCCAAGGCTTGTCATGACTTAACTTTTACCTTGCCGTCAAGTCACGCCTCATGTTATTTAGAACCTTGCTAAAAAGTGATGTTAGGGTAAAACTGTATTTTTGTAAAATAAAAAACTTAAAGGTTTTTTTCTCAATAACCATTTTTTAAATTAAATTAAATTAAATTTTATCTTATTTTATTTAATATTGTTTTAGGGTCAATGACACATTTGGTTACTACCAAGTACATTGATAAATGAAGCAGCTTTAAAAATGGCTTATGTGAAATGAAAAAAAATGAATAGCACCGCAAGCATGTGATCCCAACTTGACAATTTCATTTTGGAGTGTTTCATATCATTGATCACCACTAGGCCACCTTGACATCGTAGTTTAAGTGAATAGCAAATTTTAAAATTCATAATATATTGTACGATAGGAGATGGTTTACGTTTATCTAATATGCAGATGATTACACCCATGTTTTTAGACCAAATACATAGAAGTACACGAAATACTTTTACAATTTGGAATTCAAGTTTATTGTACGATAGGAGATGGTTTACGTTTATCTAATATGCAGATGATTACACCCATGTTTTTAGACCAAAAGAGAGCCTTCCATGACTGTGGTGGCTTTACCTCGTAGAAGTACTCTTTGATTCTTCTTATCTAAATGTATATCTAAAATGCCACTTCTAGGTGAAGCCTGATGAATAGAAAACAAACAGACAAACGAGTGTAAGAGAATAGAGTAGGTAGTCAATAATAGTATGAAAAATAACAATTTAAGGTGACATATAATTGTAGAGAGAGAAAGATAGATACTTGATATGCAAGAAAATCAGATTTTCCCAACTTGTCGCTCCAATAGGCTGCTAGGGCACAATGTGCACTTCCGCAAACAGGATCCTAAAAGAGAAATAAGTATACTCAAAGATCAAACAATTATGCTACTACTAACAACATGAACATGATGAAAGAAAAGCATTTCAATGTAATTACCTCATCAATTCCATATTTAGGGCAGAAAAAGCGAGTATAAAAGTCAAAGCCTGATCCATTAGGTGCAAGCCCTGTAATTACTATCCCTCTGCCCGGTGCTTTTTTGATCTTATCAAGTTGCGGCTCAAATTCCACAACTTCCTTCGCTGATGGAAGCACCACCTGCGGGAAAAGAACAACGAAAGATAACTTTTATCAACTTTATTCACATTCAATTATGAGTGAATATAAGAGAAATTTTAATACATACAAGGATGTCATTCGATGCTATCTTCTTTACATCAACAATAGAAACACCATTCAGTATTTCAGAAATTGCTGAAACCTCAAGATCATTGAAATCTGACACTGCCACAACAGGGAAGTTCAATTCGATCAATAAGCTGGATTGTATTTGTGCTTCACCATTTTCAGCTACTGATGAGTCCTTAATCCTTCTTTCAGGAACTTTTTTGGCAGTCAAAATTCCAGAAAGGGTTGAGAATTCAATTGTGTTATTAGATTTCACCAAACCAGACTCATAAAGGAAGTGCGAAGCTGCTAATGTTGCATGACCACAAAGTTGCACCTAACACCCGAATAGAACAAATCAAGATTAATACAGCTAAATAAACGTATAAAGACGATCATATATAGAAATTCAAACTGATAATCACCTCAGTTACAGGAGTGAACCATCTGAGCTTGAATCTAGGGTTCTCCGAGTCGTGGTCGACGATCGGAGTCAAGAAACCAGTCTGGGATAAATTGAATTCAGTCGCAACTGACTGCAACCACTTATCATCTTTCTCTATACCTTCCAACCAACACACAGCCGCCGGATTGCCTTTAAACGCCGTCTCGGTAAATGCATCCACCTGTTTCTCAGAGGAAAACAGTAGATTAAGGACCACTCTAGCTCTCGATTGGTAAAGCAATATGCAGCTCATATACTAACGTATCGTTGTGTGTGTGTGCAGTGTGCTTGGCAGAGA